CCTCTGAGGACAGTGAGCTCCTGGACACAGTGCTCCTCACGCATACACATTGAATTTAGAAATAAAAACAAAAATTCAAAGTTCTTTATCCATTCTTTAACTTTGAAATATTACCAAGGTTTCTACCTGAGTATCAAACGTGGAACATACACACTATTGTTTCTGAGCTCCCCACCCACTGAATTTTCATGTTAAACATTACAAAGGCAGAAATAACATAACCATATGTTGTTGTTGTTTTTTTCTTTCTGCCATTGATTTTTCTCTCTGTGGGCTTCTAGATACACATTTAAGATTAATAAAATGTCTTCTAGTTTTCATGATACTTTTTGAGGCAAAAGCTTGCTCAGTAGCCCAGGCAGTGATCCCCTGCAGAAGCCTCCTAAGGGTTCCAACTATAGGACTGCTCCACACGCCTGTTACGAGGAACTCTTAGTCGTAGATAATAACAACTGCAGTCCTTGGCTCTAGAAGGTTTCTGTTCTGCCGTATCGGTGATGGAACCCAGGTCTGTGCATGCTGAACATCATATAATACGGGGCAGTGGCAGTGAGCCCTGGCATCTAGCACTGTATCCTAGCACTCAGAAGGCAGAAGCAAGGGATCTGTAATTCAATGTTAGCTTCAAGTTTTGTGTTTTTGTTTTTGTTTTAATCCAGGGCTGGAGAGATGGCTCAGGGGTTAAGAGCACTGGCTGCTCTTCCAAAGGTTGTGAGTTTAATTCCCAGTAACCACATGGTGGCTCACAACTATACACAATGAGATCTGGTGCTCTCTTCTGGCCTGCAGGCATACATGCAGGGGGAATACTGCGTACATGATAAACAAACAAACAAACAAATAAATAAATAAAATTTTTAAAAAAATCCAGAGCTGGGTATGTGACACATTCCCGCACTTTAGAGGCAAAGGCAGGTGAATCTCTGTGAGTTCAGGCCAGTCAAGGTTACATAGTGAGACTGTCTATGAATGAATGAATGAATGAATGAATGCAGACGAGTATCAATAGAAAATTCCGTCATACAAACGACAGAGTTTGGGAGCCAGGCATGGTGGTGCCTTCCTGTAACCCCTCACTCCGGAAGCAGAGGTGACTGAATTCAGCACTAGTCAAGTCATAACAAAAAATGCCAAGACACTTTTCAGCCTTTTATAAGTCGACAGAGCCATGAAGGTGGTCTGCTTTCTGAGACCTGGCACATACCCCAAAATAAAACCATGTAAACGTTTCAAAAACTAACTTACACTCTGTAACTGTTTTTAAAGTCTACAAATCCTAAGCGTTTAAAATTTTAAGAAGCCTTTCTTAGGGTCAAAAGAGCTGATGGATCAGTGCTGAAGAGCACCGTCTGTTCTCGCAGACCGACCGCCTGAGTTCCAGCTACCAGCCCCCACCTGGTGGCTGGCAACTTTGTAACTCCAGGTCCAAGTGATCCAATGCCTCTAGTCCCTGTAGGTATACACTCAGGTACGCATACACAGTCAAAAGCAATTTAAAAAAAAATGCTGGGTGGTGCTAGCACAGGCCTTTAATCCCAGCACTCAACAGGCAGAGGCAGGTGAATCTCTGTGAGTTGAAGACCAGTCTGGTCAACATAGATAGTTCCAGGACAGCTAGGGCTGTTATGCAGAGAAAACTTGTCTTGAAAAACCAAAAGTAAATATAAATAAATAAAATAAAGATTTTTTTCAAAGTTTTATTACTAACACTCCATAAATTCCAGAGGCTTAACAGGTTCTGTGTCAGGAAAGGGAAGACCCAGCACATTTTTGGCAGTACCTAGCTACACAGCTCCTTCAGCTTTCACACTTTGGAAAGTTACACGTAGTACAGAAAGGGTAGGCTTCCCTCATCCTGAGAAAACGACAGAGCCAGTTCCTAGTGACATTACAGCGAGGGCCGAATTGTTGCTGAGACTTGTGGACCAGCCAAGAGCATCCTGAATCCCGTTGGCTCTTTACTGCACACTGCACATATGTGTTTCCTTGACTGCATGCAAACACAGACAGTTGCTGGTTAAATGGTTTGGCATCTGATTTTTAAATTTGTTAAATAAAAGCTATATTTGGGACTTTTAACAGTTTTCCAAGGACAGGGAGCCACATTTTTTAAAAAGTTTTTGTTTTTTTTGGGGGGGGGGTTTGAGACAGGGTTTCTCTGTAGCTTTGGAGCCTTGTAGACTAGGCTGAGCTCGAACTCACTGAGATCCGCTTGCCTCTACCTCCCGCATACTGGGGTTAAAGGCATGCACCACCACCACAACCCGGCTTAAAACAGTTTTTCTATATACTATCTAGGTCAGGTTGGCCTTGGATTTGTGGCAACCCTGTGCTGTGGAATAACCCTTCTGCACACTGTGAAGAGGTGTGGCCCTCGTTCATAATAAAGAGCTGACTGGTCAGTAGTTAGGCAGAAAGAGAGTAGGTGGGCGAGCCAAACTGAAAGGACACTGGGAAGAAAGACAGAATAGTGGAGTGGTCAGGAGACACTGAGGAAAACAAGATGAACATGCCATGCTTAAAAAGGGTACTGCCACATGGTAGAGCATGGATAAGAAATATGGGTCAAGTTGTAAGAGCTAGTTAGTAACAAGCCTAAGGTATTGGCTGAGCATTTATAATTAATAATAAGTCTTTGTGGGGTTATTTGGGAGCGGGCTGGTGGGATGAAAAACTCTGCCTACAATCCTGCTTTGGCCTCCTGGGTGCGGAGATTACTGGCATGTCCCACTATGTCTGACTTGACTTAGAATACTTTTCATTTGCAACGGGCTATCAAGATGGAGTATCACAAAAGAAAACATGTGACATCGCAAATGAAAATGCATCTGTGTAGCCAAGCAGTCACTTCTCTTTATTCAACAAAATGGATTGGTAAACACTGCAACACTGTTCCTAGGGAACACACAGGGCTAGGATCCTGCAAGTTGCTGGCACCTCTGTTCACAGATAAACACAGTGCTGGTTCAGTAACACGGAGCCTTCTGCCAACACTGTAATCTGTACACAAACCCTTCTCCTTATTGCATGCTTCTTATGCTTCAAATCTTTGGATGAACACGTCCACTGGACACGTAGTGGCCATTTTAAATAGGACGGCCAGTGAAATGGCTCAGCGGGCAAAGGCACTGACTGCCAAGCCTCATGACAGGAGCTTTATTCCAGGGAACCCCCAGGAGGGAAGGAGAGTGACACCTACTCCACACACGCATGCACGCACACAGGCACACACACGTGCACGCACACAAAGTAAAATTTTAAAAACAGAAGGGGGGGTAAAAGAAGGAAGAAAGGCATAGTATTATCAACTGAGAAGAAGGCATGGTCAGACTATGCTGAGTACCAGGTAGTTTGAATTCCATTATTTTGCTGGGTGGGTGGTGACACACACCTTTAGTACCAGCACTCAGGAGGCAGACGCAGGTGGACTTCTGTGAGTTTGAGGTCAGTCTGGTTTACAGAGCGAATTCCAGCACAGCCTGGGCCATACAGAGAAACTTGTCTCAGAAAACGAAAAAACAAAACAAAACAAAACTCCCTAATTCACCAAGTGACTATTTTTTTCACCAACGACTTTGAAAGTACTATGAATATTGATCTAGGGACATGAATACATTTTAGATGCAGGCAGATTTCTAAATACAACAATCTACAAAGTCAGGCTGACTGCACCCATCAACCCCCCACCATCACCACTGTATTTCAACAGCTGCAGTGGTACTGGGACACCAGGGAAGGGACCAATTTGCAACCACCCGACCACTTCTGACGTCTCTGGGATCTTAGAATCAGGTCCCTAATTCTAACAAAAGAAAAACTGTAATTTTCTCAAATGCCTATCAAATTTATCCCTGAATACATCAACCACAACTGCCACCTTTCTGAATGAACAAGAAGAGCTGAAGCCACAATTTATATCAGCTACGAACTTTTCCTGTATTAATCCCAAGAGCACATTCTATCCTTCCAAATAAGCAAGTGAAAACTTACAACACAGTGGCCTTTCTGGCTGCACATGCACTGCAGGGGACACCCGGTGTGTGGGTCCTGTGAGAGCAGCAAGTGCTCTTAGCCTCGACCGAGCCCTCTCCAGGGCCCCACTACATGACTTCATTAGAATTTGCCAAAAGGACACCAAGTCCCATGCTTTTTGTGGCAAAACCATGACTTTTCTTTTTTATTTTTGGTTTTTTGAGACAGGGTTTCTCTGTAGCTTTGGTTCCCGTCCTGAAACTAGCTCTTGTAGACCAGGCTGGCCTCGAACTCACAGAGATCCACTTGCCTCTGCCCCCGAGTGCTGGGATTAAAGGCGTGCGCCACCACGGCCCAGCCATGCAGACTTTTCAAATATGCAAACAGACCTCCAACCACCCTCTAATCCAAAGTGCTAGCAATTACATCACTTGGGCTGGAGACACGGCTAACTGGCTCAGTGGCCAACAGTAATCTCACTGGAGGGCTGGGGAGACATCTCAGTGGGGAGCAAACACTGCTCTTCAGACATCCGGAGTTGGTTCCCAGTGCCCATGTCAACTTCCTTCAACTCCAGAGGGATGGATCTGGCACTGCTGACCTCTGCGGACACTTGCACTCAGGTGTACAGACCCCTACACAGACACACATACATAATTTATATAAAATAAAATCTGTTTTTAAAGGAATTCTCTCACGCGAGCCTTTAATTAACAAACCTTTATTGTGAACAGCTGGGCCCAGATCATGCAGGATCTAATGCTGGTCTCAGCAAAGTTATGATTTCATGAACAAGGCCAGGCATCCTGGCTTATCTTTACACTTTACAACTGAACATTTATTTCTAACGTGTAAAACACATCTGAATTGCATCTCTCCCACAGGGCTTCATGATAGTTAAATAAAGGCAACTGAACCGACAATGACATTTATGATAATTTCAAAGTTACTGGAGGAAGTGCATTGCTGTCATTTTCTTGAAAGGAACTTGGCATAAAAGGCAGCAGAGAGGTCTTTGTAAGGGGTCTCTGAATCCGACTTGGTTGTTGGTATCCGGCAAAGATGGCGGAATCCCGGGGAGCGCAGCAGCAGATTCTGGGAGAGGCCCAAGAGGCTGGAACACAGCCAGTAGAGAACTAGAGACTAGAGAGAGCACACGACAGTTAGCATCTGCTCCTGTATGGGCTGCACACGTGCGCGCGAACACACACACCGACACACACACACACACATCAGCATTCTAAGCAAGCTATGAGATAGTGAATGAAGTCCACCAGGCAAGAAAGGTTGACAACGGGAGACAGAAGAGCGAGGTATTTCCAGCAGACAGAACAGACAGCAGACACCAGGCAGGGTCAGGAAAACACCCTCCCGTCTTTGACTAGTTTGTTCCCACCACAGGTGCTGACAACTGAGCATACAGATGGGCGGTGGGAGCCTGGCGGTGACCTCTTCCCGTGGCAATCTTACCTGACCTCACGCCCCCCTTTTACCCACCACAAGCCCCCAGTAACTACTTTCTCTGTATCGTCTAGGATGCGTTTCATTTCTTTAGAGACAACTTATTAACCTTCTTTTGTGATAGAACCCAGGCTGGCCTTTCTGTACATACATGTTTCCTACACATACATGTGTCTCAAGCTCTGTGTGGGCATCAGAAAGCAGTCAGGTCTCAGAAGGCAAACCATGTGGCTGGTGAATCCTGCCTGGGATGAAGCTCTCCAAGTCTGAATCCTGTCACTACTATCTGGCTTTGCACTGGTCATTTCTCTTGCTTCAGGTTCGTATCTGTAAAATGGGAGAGTAAATGCACTCACTTTGAGGGCTCATGAGTGCAACTGTACAGAATGGGTAAGTTCAGTACACAACTCACACAAGTATCTGGACATGTTCAAAGTCAGACCCCAAGGGCACGAGTAACACACCAAAGGCAGACTAGCACAGTGGTTACAAATAACAGCTGATCCGCCTGGAATTGTGAGACTTGCTGTGGGACAATGGTCTTGTACACTGTAAAGATCTGTCACTTGTATTAGTTTAATAAAACACTGATTGGCCAGTAACCAGGCAGGAAGTATAGGTGGGGGGCGACCAGACAAAGAGAATTCTGGGAAAAGGTAAGGTAGAGATGCAGTTGCCAGCCAGATACAGAGGAAGCAAGATGAAAATCCCATACTGAGAAAAGGTACCAAGCCACATGGCTAAACATAGACAAGAGTTATGGGTTAATTTAGGTTATAACAGTTACTTAATAATAAGCCTCTGTGTGTTTCTTTGGGACTGGGCAGGACAGAAACATCTGTCTGCAGAGACTGCCTGGGTAGTTCACAGAACTTTCCATGTTTCAGGTTCCTCATCACTAAAGTGAGAGATTGATTCTGTTGTTTTGTTTGTTTTCTAGATAGTTTCTCGTGTAGCCCCTCTGTAGAGGAACTCCCTCTGTAGACCAGGCTGGCCTCAAACTCAGATATCTACCTGCCTCTACCTCTCCGAATAGTGGAATTAAAAGTGTGCACCACCACTGTCTGACCCAGAGAAGTGGGAGATTGTAACAGTGCCTGCCTCTCTGCACCACCAGGAGAAATATAAGGCAATATACAAAATGCATTAAGAGTGCCTAGGGCTGACAAGAAGAGCCAGCAAACTAGATGATAGGAGCTTAACCCCTGGAACCACATCAGAGGAGGAGAACCGACTCTTGGAGACTTCCACACGTGTACCCCGACACATGCAAGAGGAGGAGAGAACTGACTCTAGTAGACTTCCACACACGCACCTTGACACATGCAAGTGCTTGGCATAAAATCAGAGTGCCTGAATATCAGGCTGGTGCAGTAAGGGTCATGGGAGCTTTCTGTCTGGCTTCCTGAGGAGCTGGGATGAAGGACATACAACACCCTACACCGACACAAGGATTTCTAAGCCTTTTTTCTCACCACATTTTATGGGTTTTTTTTTGTTTGTTTGTTATTGTTGTTAGTTTGTTTTGTTTTTCGAGACAGGGTTTCTCTGTAGCTTTGGAGCCTGTCCTGGAACTAGCTCTTGTAGTCCAGGCTGGTCTCAAACTCACCGAGATCCGCCTGCCTCTGCCTCCTGAGTGATGGGATTAAAGGCGTGTGCCACCACTGCCCGGCCTCTCACCACACTTTCAAAAGTGCATCCAGACAGAACTATAGGTTTCCATCTACATAACAATTCCTTTTCTTGCTAAGAAAAAAAATTCTAATTTTTAGCTGGGTATACTTGCTGTGGAATATTCCTTTACAGTGTGTCAAGATATGCCACTGTCACTGGTTTAATAAAAAAGTTAAATAGCCAATAGCTAGGAAGGAATTTTGAGGCAGAGAGAATGCTGGGAAAAAGGAGGGATCACCAGTCAGATACAGAGGAACAGCATGGGCATTACAAAGTAAAGGGAACCAAGCCATAGGAAGAACGTAGATTAAAGAACTGGGTTAATTTAAGTTATAAGAGCTAATGAGAAACAAGCCTAAGCTTTTATAAATAAATAAGTCTCTGTGTTGTGATCTGGGAGCTATTTGGTGGGACAGAAAAATCCACCTACAGGGGCTGGCGAGATGGCTCAGTGGATAAGAGCACTGACTGCTCTTCCAGAGGACCTGGGTTCAATTCCCAGCACCCACATGGCAGCTCGCAGCTGTCTGTATCTCCAGTTCCAGAGAATCTGACATCGTTATACCAATGCGCATGAAATAAAGTTAAAAAAAGTTTAAAAAAAAAAGAAAAATTTGCTTACATAAACTGTGTCTAAAAACCACTGTACATACTTCCTAGACTATTAAAACTGCTAGATGTGACCAAATAAGTAAGACACAAGCACACTTATTTGGTAGAACACAACTTCTGACAACTATTTTCCACAGATACAAAGGGGGAAATATACAAAAGGACTGAAGGAACTGTAACGATAATTGTTTATTCTTTTATTTCTTACAAAGTTTCCTTAGGTATCAACAGGGACAAATGAACCAAACTCACAGCACAAGGTTAAGCAGTACTCATGAATTTACATGAACTTGGCGGTGCTTTCTTTTTTATGGGCTGTAGTCCTTGATCCAGTCTATATGGGAGTTGTTCAATGTATCAGCTAGTCAAACAGGCAAGTACCAGACTGAGCAAGGTGCTCTGTCATTAATCATTAAAACAGGATGGGGGGGACAAGGAGTTTGACAGCAGAGCTGGACACATCCCTGAGAAAGACGAGCCAATCAGCCCGCACAGTGCTCGGCTGTTACCTGATGACACAGACAACAGCCACACAATCATTCTCAACAACAAGGTCAAGCTGGTAAAAGACAGGCTCAAAGCTGCAGGATGCCAGGCTCTGGGAGCTAAGCATGGGTCACATGCAATGCTACTGGTACTCACAGAAGGTACTGTGGCGGCGATCGGGATCATCAGCACGGACACAGCGCGCACAAAGTGTGTGACATACATCTGAAAACGAGACATTCCGAGTTTTTGTAGAGCGAAAATCTGAAGTAGAACACACAAACCATAATTACTAAAATGCACATTAAGTCAGACAAACTATCTCTCCAACCCCATCTTCTCCGTTTTAAACAGGTGCACATACCCTAGGGTAGCATGGAGCTTGCTGTGCAGTTGAAAATGACCTTAAACTTTTCACCACTCTATCAGCCATGCCCCACTAGACCCCTGCCTCCAGCACTGGAGTAGAGATCCCTGGGCTTTCTGCATTGCTAGGCAAGCATTCTACCAACTTGGTTATATTCCCAGCTCCAAGGAATTAAAAAAATAGGAAGTGTCTGTTACAAACAAGATGTAGCAGACAGTACTCACTGACAAGAGGTTTGTAAGACTTTTACCTCAAAGTCTGAGCTCTTTATAAAATTACAAGCATGCTTTCTGTGTACTGTTGAGTGAAGCGCTATAGGTAACAGAAGACACAACTAAAACAACCCCATTTTTTATATATGTGTTTCTTCACGTTAGCACATCAAGAACTTTAAATGACGATACTAAGTCATTTATTAAGAGAATGGCAGTGGGTTACTTACGGTTCCCTACCAATAAATTGACATAACAGATACACAAAAACCCCATTCGATTGTGGATTAAAACCAGACTGGCCATGCATCTTAAATTCGTATGTATGTATGTACGTATGTATGTATATTTAGAGACTGGTTCTTTCCAAGTCCTGGAACTCACTGTGTCACTGTGTAGACCAGACTGGACTTGAGCTTTCAGAGATCTGCCAGCCTCTGCCTCTGAGCACTGAGATTAAAGGAGTGCCAGCATACCCAGCTTTAATTATTATTCTTTTTCTTTTGCCTGTTTTTTTGAGATGCTCTTATTATGTAGCTTAGGATGGCTTTCAAGTTTGTGGTTCTCCTGCCTCTGCTTCCTGAGTGCAAAGACTAGATATGTGCCCGGTTTAGTGCTCTTACTTTAACAAAAAGGACTCTGACACCAGAGACATAAAGGAACTGGCTCACGCCGAGAGCTGATCTGAAGTCAGAATTCAGAGTGTATATGATGTCAGAATAGCAGCAACAGCAGCAGCAATCCCAATGACATAAACAGTCAGCAAACCCCAACGTAAACCACTGACCTCCACTATTAGTAAATTGACAACACCAACGGAGACAGGCAGAATCCAAGTGGAATCCACTGCAGTGAGGTCAGGAAACCACAGGACCCCGCCAGCCGCTAGCTGCTCCTGAACAGAGACAGCAGCTGAAACAGTTTAAACACAGAACAACAGGGTTCCTGAGCACCGTGGAGAGGGAGCAGAACACAAACACAGACCCCAACAACTCCCAAAGAGCGTCTCTCCCTGAAGAGCCACACTGGTTAGTTAAGCTATTTATGTTTGCAATTTTTTTTGTTTTGTTTTGCTTCATTTTCCAGTTATTGCTCTCAACATACACTGTTTATGCTTAAGAGTCTAAATTCTGTTATGTAAGGAAGACAGTAAATCGTAGTAATGAAGACTAGAATTGTTTTTTTTTTCTACTGGAATGCAACTTTTCAAAAATTTGGAGATGAGAATTTCTGAAACAGTTACCTTCTGAATGTGCTGCCCCTGTGCTGAAGTTCCGGAGGGCAACGGATATGAAGACCCACATTGGAAGCTGGACCCATACCAACACGGTGGCTTTGAAGGGATGGCAGTTGTCACGCACATACAGCTCTGACACAAGCCTCCTCATGTTCTTTAGATAGGTGAGCCTATGGTGAGGGAGGGGAGTGAAGACATCTTCTGACCACTAGCAAGAACTTCACCCTGCAGCACACACACCCTCCTGCAGGGATGCTGAAAGGCGGAGCAGGGCTTTCAGCTATCATACCCAGGAAAGGGGTCAGCCACTAAACAGAAGGCACACAGCCTTTTACTTATTGTTTTCAATTCTGCAATAACATTTAATTACAGTGTATGTTTCAATGTTCCATATTAAAAGTACTGAATGAATCTACCAAATACATTTTCAACTCATCTAATACGTGTGACACTAAAATATACAGCAATAATTTCTAACATAAGAATAGTATTTCCACAGAGCCTTTTATTAAAGACATTGTCAGACTACAACTTTAGTCTATAATGATCTCTGGCCAATAAGCTTTGCTTAAAAAAATATTTTATTTATCATATTCTGTGATGTGCATGTATGAAAAACACATCAACACATGTGAACCACTGAGCTATCGCTCCAACCCTTGCCAATAAGATCTGCAGGGTGAAATATTACCAGCTGACCCAGCACATACCCACAATCCCAGCATCTTTTGGGAGATGGAGACGGAGGTGGGAGGACTGAAGCTTGAAGTCAGGCTCAAGTTACATAGCTAAGTAAGGAAGGCAAACCGAGGCTACCTTGTGAACTCCTGTCTCAAAATTAAACAAAATGGAGAGTGGGATTTCAAGCCCAACAAAGTATAACACAATTTTAACTGCAAATATCACAGCTGAGAGCATATTTTACATAACTCTGTAGTACAGGCAAACATAGCCACTTGACCTCCCAAAGTATCCTGTCTGCTCTGTGGGTCCGCACAGTTTACTGGTTTTTGTGGCAAGGAGGGTATCACTAGCTCAGGCTGGCCTCCGAGTCACAAGCCTCTTATGCGAGCACCACTAACCTTGCTCTGGGTTCTTCCTCATCTCTAAATCTCTTATAACACACACATTCAGTACAAGGTAGGTTTTATAATTATTGTATTGAATCAATTTGTCGTGTGCTGAACTGAGATAGTACATGCAAGCATTCTAGGCCCCTCAAGTCTTATTTGTACTTTACTTCTCTACTACACTTGCACATTATGGTCCTGGAAACTGTTAGGTCATCCAACAAAATGGACCTTCACATCAGCACATCTGAGGACGTGAACTAGCCATTTGCACAAGAAACATCTAGACAGCCACGGCATCAGTGAAGCACAGCTAAGTTATCCATCATAAATCTCACCTCAACAAGCCATTTACAACCCAGATGAACACCTGTTCTGCTGGCCCGTGGCTGTGCTCTGATTCCTCTTTATAAAATATTTAAACTACAGGCTTTGGTTTAGATACATTTAACAAACAACTTTACATTTTATGTGTCAATACATATACTTTCTCCTTTTTTCCTTCTTTTCTTTCTGAGACAGGGTCTCAGACTGTAGCCTGGAAGGCCTGGAACTCATTATGTAAACAGACTGGCCTTGAATTCAAGAGCTATCCCTGCTACTATCTCCACACAGTGCTGAGATTAAAGGCTTGCCTCACCAGTCTTGCTACACAGAAAGTTTCCCTACATTTCAAGTTTTCTTTGTTGTTTTATTGTTTTATGTGTGTGAAGGCTTTGCTTGCATGTGTTTAAGTGCACCACATGCAGACCTGGTGCCCCGAGGGTAGAAGAAGGGCCGAGCACTCCTGGAGCTGGAGCTACAGCAGAGATATCCAGGGAGTGCAGGGAATCCAGCCTGGGGCCTCTGTGAGTGACAAGTGTTCTTTAGGCCAGGCACGGTGGCACACACCTTTAATTCCAGCACTTAGCAGGCAGAGACAGGTGGATCTCTGAGTTTGAGGCCAGCCTGGTCTATATAGTGAATTCCAGGACAGTCAGGGCTACACAGAAATTGAGGATTTAAAACAAAACAAACACAAGTGCTCTTGACTGCTGAGCCAACTCTTCTAATGTCAAGTTTTTCTGTTTTTCATTGTTGTTGTTGTTGCTTCATTAGCACCAAATAAAGATGATAGAACTCACATAAAATATAGTTTGCCAGGCATGGTGGCACATTACTGTAGTGATACCATCTGGAAGGCAAGATTGCCTGAACTATACACTATTTCACAAAAACCAAAATGAGTGGGGACGGGGGTTGGGGTGGAGGGGTTATGGGGACACAGATGGGCACCATGAGACAAGACAGGACTGCACAGCAAATCACACCTACTTCCGTGCACAGCTCCCGACTCTCCCAGGACTTACACCAAACCTTGTGCAGTACTTACTTCACTGCCATCTTTATCTGAACACGGCTCTTTTCCGTGGGTCCTCCAAATAGAAGCCAGATGTGGTAGCACATCTGCAATCCGAGCATTTGAGGAAGGGGAGGTACGAGGATGAGGAATTCAAGTAGTGGGAGGCTGAGATGGGAGGACCATTCAGCTCCTCAGGAATTAGGATAAAGTAAGTCTGTTTCTTCGTTTATATGCTTCCATTTCAGTATATAAAATAGTGACTTATTAATATGAAACTAATAAAGAGAATGCCTAAACCTGCATTTATATATTTCATGTTTACAGGCATAAAACTGCATACCTGGCAACTCTTTTGGACCAACCAAACTGATGCGCACAAACGGCAACTTCTTGGTTAAGGCGCTTGGCGATGCTTTTTATCTCTGGTTGCAAGTTTTCCACCTAACTAAAGAAAAAGTTGTTTTTATGAGCACATAAAGGATCTTTGCTGAAAACTACGGCTATAGTCAGCATCGGCTGCCAACTTGGCGCAACCAGGAGAGAGGAACTCAGTTAAGAATTTCCATCTATCAGATTAGCCTACAGAACGTTTTTGATTGCTATTTGAAACAGAAGGACTCAGTCCACTGCGGGCTGCCATCCCTAGGCATGTGAGACTGGGTTACACAGAAAAGCCAGGAAGCAGTTTTCCACTAAGGTTTCTGCTTTAGTTCCTGTCCTGCTGCCCCGCCATGACAGACTAGAACCTGAGAGCCAAGTAACCCTTTTCCTCCCCGATTCCGCATTAGGTCAGTGTCATCAATCAATGACATTCATGTATTCTCTGTACCCTCAACTACTTACAAGTGTTTGCTGATCACATTTGTAATAGGAAACATTTAAGCAGAAGACACTATTAAATATTTAGCCTGCTGAAAATATCTTGAGTCAAGCCGGGCAGTGGTGGCGCATGCCTTTAATTCCAGCACTCTGGGGGCGGAAGCAGGTGGATCTCTCTGAGTTTGAGGTCAGCTAGGTCTACAAGAGCTAGTTCCAGGACAGGCTCCAAAGCTACAGAGAAACCCTGCTGTCTCAAAAACTCAAGAAAAAAAAAAAATCTTGAGTCAAACTTAAATTCCAGGTTGTACACCAAAATGCTCTGCACAAACTTCTTGGTTAAAGGATGCTTGGTGATATTTTGTATTTCTGGCTGTGCATAACCTCTGAAGTGGCACTTACTTCTTAGAATTTTGAAAATTAAATGAAAACTGCATCCCAGATTTTCCTGTTCCAGTCTTAGATATGCCAGCAGTAGAGAAAACAGCACCCAACTTGTTCAGTTCAAATCCCAAGGATTCCCAGTGACCACTTTCTGCCTTAGTGTGGCCGCTTCTTTCCTGGCGATCTTCTGTGAAACCTCACCTTCTCAAATTAACTGAGAAGGTGAAACTTCAGAGTAACTGCTGATTTCCTCTCACAGCACGAATAGCCAAAGAAAGACAATGCTATACCGATTCCACAGAAACAAGTCTTAAAGGCCGACTCAAGGTCACAACTCATCAGACACAGGGTCGTAGAATGACAATCCAAGTTTGCAAATTGTTAATTTAGGGAATCCTTTCTAATAATAAAGAGCAGTAAGAATAGTTAAGGGGAAATAATGCTGCAGACGCTCTGTTAAAACGTTCACGTCCCTAATGTTACAGGCTCCTCCGTGTCATTTCTTCTGCAGACTGGTCTCAAACTGAAGTTTAGGAAGCACTTGTATTTCAAATAAAGACCTGGTAAGTGGGAAGAACTGGAAGGCACTCGAGTCACCAACCATTATTTAACATAGGCAATATTATTTTAGCAAAGCACCAGCCTCGAGAGTTAATATTAGCAGGAAGGCAGCACGGGGACCGATAGCCCTCACCTTGGCCAGGATGTAGTGCTGATAGGCCGCCAGGGGCAACGTGACGGCGCCGCGCAGGGCCACGGTGGTGAGCATGATGCTGCCCCACCAGGGGAGCCCCGTGGCTGCCTGCGCGCCCAGCAGCACTTCCTCCGCGGCGCGCACAGGTGCCGACGCTGCCAGGGCCTCGTACCATCCGCCTGGAGCGGCAGCCGACACCGACGCAGCCGCCCACACCGGGAGGGCCTGGAGCCGCAAGCTACTCCGGCCGGGCTGCAGTCCCCGCGCCCGCAGCCGCAAGGTGGGCAGTGACCTGAGACACCCGGCACCCTGGCGACACAGCATGGCAACAGCGCTGCAGACCGGTAACGGTAAGGAGTCCAGGGGGCCCACGGAAGATGTGCGCATGCGCAGGCCCGCGGCCACGCCTGGCTTCCCAGCCACAGCGGTGACGTCTGCGGCGCGCTGGAGATGACGTAAAGCCCCGCCTTTCCCACGCGGCACTGGGCAGCAAGCGGCGCGCACGGGACGACTTTCCTTGCTAGGGTGGAGCTCCGGGCAGTCGGAACCGGAACTGCAGGGGTAGGCGGGGCAAGCAAAGCGCCTGGCTGTTGAGTTTCGGTTTCCACCCAAGAGGATTGTCGCTTGTGTACTTTTTGTGACCGGGCAGCTTCCGCTGAAGACACGCGTAGCCTGTAGTAGTTCTGTTTCCGCCCACTGCTGAAACGCCTACTTCAGAGAGGAACGAGTGTTTCCGGTTTGCGCGGAGTTAGTCTGCGTCCTTTATCCTCTAGACAAAATTCTACTGAATAGATTTGTCAGCCGGGTGGTACAAGTAGGAGGATCTCTTGTGTATTTGACGTCAGTCTGGTCTAGGTAAGGGAGCTCTAAGCCAAAGCTACCCAAAGACACGGTCTCAAAAAAAAAAAAAAGCCACACCATCATCATGATAAAAAGCAGGAAAAAAGAGTAAAATGGAACGCACAAGGCATAAACGAACTCCGTGAGTTTTTCAGTTTTGAGTTCCTGACTACAGCAGATAATTGGGATGACAAGTTTTCTTACAAAAGCGCCCAACCATCCAATTGGCCAAATCCTATTTCTAGAAATCTCTCCTTTTTGCCAGTGCCAAAAAGGTAGCCATTGTCCCCTATTCACTGCACAACTACCAAAGGTATCAGGTAACATATTTTCTGGAATCTGGGATACTTGCGTTCAAAACTAACCATGAATCCACATAAAAATTTTTAAATGTTTAAGCTCCTGTACCATAATCCTTTTCTGAAACAACTTACACTATCTCTTACTTAAGAAATCAGTTGTTATTGCCTACTGATTTAAAGTGAAGATCAAGTAATGTATGTGTAAAACGAAATTTCCCATCCTTCTTGCAGACAACTGGTAAAACTGAGTTGGCATTTCCAAAGTGGCCCTATGGCATAAAGGGAAGTTACTTAAAACAACACAACTCTGCCAAACCCCAGGTTTACCATGTGAAAACCCAGAACCAATTCTAACACTGGGAAATAAATTCATATTTATGGCTAAGCATAAATAACTTTTGTGTATAAATAAGCCTATTTAACGATCTGTTTACAAACAATAAACCAAAAAAATTCAAGCAGTTATTAAAATCCTTAATATTTTTATTACAACTGTGTGGAACTCCAGCTCAAGGGATCTGACACCCTCTTCTGATCTGTGAGCATCTGCATGCATGTAAGTAAAAATAATAGAAATATGCCGAGTGGTGGTGGCATATGCCTTTAATCCCAAAACTCGGGAGGCAGAGATGGACGGATGTCTGTGCTAGGTTTTGGTTTTTTTTTTTTTTGTACCTGAAGGGACAGCCGTGATGCTGGGAACCAAACTCTTATATTTTTGGTTGTGAGCCTAGCCTTCAACGGCTGAGCCATCCCTCCAGGCCGAAACCCTGTCTTGAAAAAGAAAAACAACAAGCCCCAAATATTCTAAAGTGAATTAACATTTATTAATATTTAATTTGTGCTAGTTCTGCATATGTTCTCTGACTTCGTAGCCAGTCCTCTCCGTCCACTTTTACCCAGATCACCACGTTTGTGCTGCAAGACCTTTTACCTTGAGCCATGTGTCAAACCAAATTGATTTTTAAAGCCTTTTAAAAACTTCCAAATTTATCACATGTTCATGTGCAATGTGGGAGGAGTAACTCCTGTGGAATCCGAGGGACAACATGAAGAAGCTGGTTCTCTCTTTATAATGTGAGTGGTAATGATTGGTCTCAGGTAATCAGGTAAGGATTTGGACTTTTTCTTAAGATGCAGTTCCTCGCTATAGCCCAGGCTATCCTGGAACTCACTGTATAACCCTGGCTGACTTTGTACTCTAGGCAATCTGCACTAGTGTCAGATCTCACCAGAGATCCTTCTCAAAAGACCTAAAAGTTAAAAATATAAGTGAGAGGCTACTGGTAACACTGCCCCCGCAATCCTCTACTTGCTAGCACACACATTCCTTCACTAGCATTGGATCCTACTTAGGGATTCCAGCACATGTTGAAGACATGCTGAGACACCCAGTCCTGTGGGACTACTGGGACTGAGAACTACTAGGTTCTTTGACTTCCCTTTCACAGACAGCCATTGTTGAACTGTAGCCTGGAAATTGTTCCAAAAATTTTCACTTCTGTATGTGTGTGTGTACACTGAATATATATTTTTTATTCCATAAATTTGAGAGATTGGACTGATACACCACTTACCACATTTGCTGTGACTTCCAATCAGCATAATTTTGAAAAACTGATCTTAGAAGCAGCCCTGGATCAATTTTGCTGCACTTACACCCCCATAATAACTGGTGGATATATAGGATGCATCTTTGAGGTCAGGTGTGCTGGGGGATAAACAGGATGCCAGACTTTAGTAGAAAGAGCAGGACGACCCAGTGTTCAAGGCCAAACTCCACTAAAAATTTTGCTGCAGGGATTACAAGCACGACAGGCATGTGCCACTCCCCTCAGCTTATTCAGTATTAGGGTTAATCACCTGACATATTTTGGGCAAGACCTTTACCCTTACTCCAATCCTCAACCTTGGAATTTTTATTATAGAAGATTAAGATACTACTCAAAATTTAATATAGATTATGCTGCCATTTAGAGTGCTCACTTTCCAAATAAGATTTCTTTCTTTCTTTCTTTTTGGTTTTTTCGAGACAGGGTTTCTCTGTAGCTTTGGAGACTGTCCTGGAACTCGCTTTGTAGACCATGCTGCCTCTGCCTCCCAATTGCTGGGATTACAGGCATGCGCCACCACTGCCATGTGGTGTGCAAATATGATTTCTAAAATGTTTTGGGGAACATTTATTTTTTAAATTAAGGATAAATTATTCTGAGAAATTGTTAAAAGTAACCCCTTGGAATCAAATATAGGCATATTTTTACTTTTGTGGGGAAGAGGAGGTTAAGACAGGGTTTCATTATGTAGTCCTGACTGATCTGAAACTGACCTTAAACTATGAGATCCATCTGCCTCTGCCTTGCAGGTGCCACCACACTGGCTTAATCTTTAACAGGAAAATCCCCTAATGTAAATTAGTATCTTGTATCTCTGTATCAAACATTGTGTCATATCTTCCTGTCAGGGGTGGCCTGGAATCTGCTTCTTATTTCTCATCATAGGTTGGCTTTTATTTTAAACTCCTTTAAGGCAGCAGTGTACCATGAGGCTGTGACAAACAGCTATTAAAACCTTGTATAAGACTGGGTCTCACTGAGAAGAACTTGTGTCTAGGCCAGCAAAATACATACTTATCCCAAACCTAAGGGATGGCACTCTGTAGTCACGATGTAGAATAATACAAGTAAGGTGCAGTCATCTTAAGGCAGCGAGTGAGCCAAGGGCAGCAACTGTGAAGATGTGCACTTCCCAATCAATCCAGAAGCACACACGCACATCTGGACAGATCACTTTACATAAAGTAAAATACTGATTATCTTAATAATTTGAAAATCATCCTGACTCCTGAATTTTGTTACTCAGAAAATTTGGAAATACTCTAAATGTTGTGTAATATCAGATCTGTGGGAATGAGTGTTCTTATGAATTATCAGTGAACAACTGAATCAGAGGACCTAAAAAGGTCTGTGATTCTGAGAATCCCAGTGAATAATACAGTACACAAACTTTATGAAGTACATATTTAAGTAACGAGCAAAAGACCAAATATTATTTTTGTGAACAGATGAGACAGTGTTATTTAATATACTACTATCGCTGTTTTCCCAGTGAACAAGTATTTACTACTAATAGGCCACAGGAGAAATTTTCTCCAGAGGAATGCTATAATACTGTATACTGACAGGCAAGAACGGAGGCCTTTGTTTGAAACAGTTAACAAGATCTTTGGGGAGGGGGGATGTTCTATGCAGTCTTATTACTATGTAGACCAGGTTGGCCTCCAACTCTGCCTCCCCAGTGCTAGGATTAAAGGCTTGAGGTAAGCCACCATGCCCAGCAACAAGGTCATTTCTAAAGTGGAATAGCTGGTGTACATAGATCACACAGTAATTTGGATATTAGCATTTGGAAATGGAAAAGTGGCAGCTCACTTCTGAAAGAGAAGCACACTGTAGTCTGCAGAGATAATCACATACTCCAAAAGGAAAAAAAAGACCTACATGGTCTCAAAAATTGTTTTTTATTGTTTAAATAAAAATGTTCTATATTACATCTTAAGTATAAAAATGTATTTGAAAAATGCTCCTGGTACAAAATTTGTAGTACTATGGCGCTGCCCTTGCACAAGCCTGACCTAAGTGTAGAGTAGAGGACCCCAATCTATTTTTCATGCTCCGCGTTTTAAATTCAAGAAAATGGTCAATTTATCACCCTTCTTCTTTACAATACAACCACTCACATGCATAGTACATGCTGAGTAGTGTCTGCTCTCCAACGAGATTATTTCAGGTAGAAAATAACCCTCATTATCACATAAAACAATCGTGGGAGTGGAGTAGACAGACCTGTGGCAAAATTCAATACAAAATGTTAAAAAACATCAATCAGGGTTTTCTATTTTGTTTTTGTAAAGTGCTGGCTTTAAAATCTCATGGCTATATTTGTAGGGTGTTCTCCTAATTTGTGTGTCTTTATCATAGGTGGAAAAGCAAATGTCTATACGTAACAAGTAACTTAAGAGAGAAGTGCACCATTTACAAACTGCTGGGTAGGTTTGAGAAACCAACCTTACATGCTCTACTAGGGTCAGTGGTGGCAAGAGATCCTCTCATGCCCTCTGACAACCAAGGAATAGTAAAATCAACTCTAGATGGTTAGATCGTGTTTTACAGTGTGAAGTTTGTATCTAATTAAAAACCAAATTGATATATATAGTATTTCTCATGTATGCACTGTTCTATATTTCAATCACATTAAGCTATTTTTCCATAGGAGACAGGGTAGGACACATATTCTTCTTGTATACATTATTGTTTATTGTTTCAAGTGGATGGAATATATAATTCCCACTGAGTAGTTTAGTGTGGCCCTGAATCACATATAAACAGGTTAAATGTAGTCTTTATAATCCTTGTATTCATGTATCAACCATAAAAATCATCTTAATAACAAACCCAAACACTCGTATGTGACTTGGCCCAAGTTAGCTGTTCATCCTTTTCATTGCTACCAATAAGTGCAGAAAGCAAGGAGCTTTTCGACCTAAGACATGAGATGCATGAAAAAGGAAAATTTTATGTTTTCTCTTTATGACCAAGAAGCCAATATTAAGAATTAATATCATCCAATATAAAATACACCAAATTGTTCAAAAATAAACGGTATATGCTGACTGAGAACTGTAGTGGCTTTAAGTTTCTCCAAAGTCTTAAGTTTTCTCATGAGAAGAAACCACTGATGCCACGGAAGATGTTCCACGCTGTGTAGCAGCCGCTACGGTAAAAAGCTTTACAGGGTGTTTTCACTACTGAGCAAGAGAATCTTACTAGTAATAGTGGCAAAGACAAAGTCCCAAACTGAAGAGGGATGTGTGTATTAGTTTGAAAGTGTGACAAATGTAATAAAGACATGGAAAATCAGAAATTTCTTCTATACGCCTTGCTACAAACAAACCCAAAAGGGAGCAAGCTGGATGTTTTCAGAGCTAACACAGGGAAACATCCACCGATAATGCCCATCATTTTACTTTATGCTTAAATTACACAAGTAGAAAAGTTATGCTTATTAATAGTTTAATGTATGAAGGAAACATCCAGATTTCTGAATATGAAGGTACATATCTCACATTAATTTAAGTCTACATAAAGTAGAGCCTCTATACTGACATATTGAAATTTACTTTCTGCTTAGCCTTTTCTGTTATGTAAACAATTGTACATTTATTTGCCATTCTAAAACTTCAGGATCAAGTTTACATAATTTTGCTAAATTTCCGTGTTTGCTCAGAAGCAGTTTACAGTACTAAAACCAACCAGCCAAGGAACAGCTTCAACAGAAAGTTAAGTCCAAAGGAGAAGAGGGGAAGAAAGAAGAAAATGATAAGAAAAATGCTAACTAAGGTAAAAACGGATGACGATGGAGAATGGGCAGTCACAAATGTTCACAGAAAAT